GACTTATTCATTGCAAATACCTTTTTTCAACAACATAAGTAATGGCTATACACATGGACTTCACCAGATGGAATACACAAAAGAATCAGATTGACTACATCTGTGCAAGAGGCAATGGAGAAGTTCAATATCTTTGGCCAAAACAAGGCCAGGAGCTGATTGTGGAACAGACCAAGAACTGCTCGTACGCATGTTCAAGTTGAAGCTGACGACAATTAAAATGAGTTCACGAGAGCCAAAATATGACCTTGATAATATCCCTCCTGAATTTAGAGACCATTTAAAGAATAGATTTGATGCAGTGAACACCAATGACCGAAAATCAGAGGAACTGTGGAATGACATCAAGAACATCATCTATGAAGAAAGCAAAAGGTCATTGAAAAGACAGGAAAGAAGAAAAGACCAAAACGGATGTCAGAAGAGACTTTGAAACTTGCCCTTAAACAGGGAGTAGGTAAAGCAAATGGAAGAAATGATAAGATAAAAGAGTTGAAGAGAAGATTTCAAAGAGCAGCTTGAGAAGACAAAGCCAATGACTATAATGAAATGTGTAAAGACCTGGAGTTAGAAAATCAAAAGGAAGAACATGCTCAGCATTTCTTAAGCTGAAAGAACTGAGGAAAAATTTTAAGCCTCAAGTTGCAATATTGAAAGATTCTATGGGAAAAATATTGAATGATGCAGGAAGCATGAAAAGGAGATGGAAGGAATATACAGAGTCACTGTACCAAAAAGAATTGGTCACTGTTTATCCATTTCAAGAGGTGGAATATGATCAAGAACCAATGGTACTGAAGGAAGAAGTCAAAGCTGCACTGAAGGAATTGGTGAAGAACAAGGCTATAGGAATTGACAGAATACTCACTGAGATGCTTCAACAAATGGATGTCCCACTAGAGGTAATCACTTGGTTATGTCAAGAGATTTGGAAGACAGCTACCTGGCCAACTGACTGGATGAGATCCATATTTGCACCCATTCCAAAGAAAGGTTTTCCCATAGAATGTGGAAATTATTGAATGGTATCATTAATATCACATGCAAGTAAAATTTTACTGAAGATAGTTCAAAAACGGTTGCAGCAGTATATTGACAGAGAGCTTCCAGAAATGTAATCTGGATTCAGGAGAGGACGTGGAACAAGGGATATCATTGCTGATGTCAGATGGATCTTGGCTGAATGCAAAGAATACCAGAAGATGTTTACTTATGTTTTATTGACTATGCAAAAGCATTTAGCTGTGTGGATCATAACAGATTATGGATAACATTGAGAAGAATGGGAATTCCAGAACACTTGATTGTGCCCATGAGGAACCTAAACATAGATCAGGAGGCTGAACAGAACAAGGGGATATTTCATGGTTCAAAATCAAGAAGCGAGTGCATCAAGGTTGTATCCTTTCACCAAACCTATTCAACTTGTATGCTGGGCAAATAATCAAAAAAACTGGATTATATGAAGAAGAATGTGGCATCAGAATTGGAGGAGGACTCATTAACAACTGCGATATGCAGATGACACAACTTTCCTTGCTGAAAGTGAGGATGA